GGCGCCGAGCCGAGACCAGTTATTTTGGCTACAAACACATACATGTGATGTATTGTTACAAATTAGATGAGTGCAAAAGAGGAAAACAAAGCAACCGAAGAGTTACCAGTCTCATGTGCACTTCACTGAATAATCTACGGTACTGTATGGGCTGAATTGTGTTCCCCCAAAACTCATATGCTGAAACCCTAACCTTCAGTATCTCAGTATGAAACTGTAGTTAAAAATAGGGCATTTAAAGAGAATTAAGTTAAAATAAGGCCATTAACATGGGCCTTAATACAATCTGACTAGTGTCCTTGTAAGGCAAGATTAGGACATACAGAGACACCAAGAGCATGGTGAAGGACCACCACGTGAAGGGCGAGGAGACAGGCCTGGCACAGATCCTCCGCTTATGGCCTTCAAGGGAAACCAACCCTGCCAGTATCTTAATCTTGGAACTTCCAGCCTCCAGAACTGTGAAAAATAAATTTCTTCTGTTTAAGACACCCAGTGTGTGCTATATTGTTATGGCAGCCCTAGCAAACTGATACAGCACCTTACCACAGCCTTAATGAATTGGATTCCCCTATTGGTGAACTAGATTACTGCAAATGGCTGCTATGATAAAGGGAATTAACACTGACATACATCAATTAATTGCCTTTTAATAATTTTAAAACTGATGGTGGATAAAAGCAAAGTTACTAAAATGGAATACGTACAGAATCAATACAAAGAAATCAGTTTGGCTTCAACCTGGTCCTCTTTGAAATGGTGCATATACCTGAAATTTAGCTAGTGGTGTGTCCAGCGTCCCAGACAGAAGAAACAAGGTCAAGTGTCAAGGTGTTTTTCTCTCCACAGTGGATAATTCTGGCTATATTCACAGCTTTCTGGAGGTATGAATGAAAGCTGGAGTAACACATGTCAGGATCCTTTCCTGTTCTATGATTCTAAACTGTGAGGCAGTACGGAATGCACTGGATAAAAAGTGGAGTTCCCTCTAGCTTCACAAGCACTTGTGCCCCATCCATCTATTTTGCCGCTTATATGTGCTCTTCGGATACTTGGAATGCCCGATGAAGTGGAAAAATATTTTAAAAGACAGCTCTTTAGTTCACAACTAAAGAGATTAGCCAAATAGAGAAAAAGTGGGCCTATTTCTAAAGTCATCCTTTGAGACTTTCAAAACCACACCACCCAGCCTGCTGCTAAAGGTACAGGGTTCCAGGAGGAAGAAAAGAGGCCCGAATACCCCCC